ACCAAGACTCGGCTTTATTTTAACAGCTAGCACCAACATCTATAATCAATACAAAAATTAAAAAGTAACATTTAAAACTTTTAGCATATTTTCAATTAATTTTGATGTATTTACATTTAAACCACATGTGAACTTGAACACAAAGCTTCTCTTATTTGCTCTGATAAATATATCCTTGAAAGTGTTTTGGTATATCTATTGTAGAAAAAGCTTGCTCATCTATCTTGTGAGCAGATAGCTTCTTAGGCACAAGAAGTGGCTATGGAGACGAGGAACGGAATGTGTTCTATGCACTCCGCTAGAAATTAAAAGGGCAGGGCTGATGTGCTTAGGATAACAGAGCTCAAAAGCCACCATTACGTTGTCATCAGAAACAGGAAGTGAGCACACTATTTCACACATTTGTCGGTATTTTAATAAGTCCCTATTGTTTTAGAATAATAAACCCTCCTACAAGCTGGTGGGCTTGCTTTTCCTCCCTCCTCTTTCACTATTGAATGTTCCTTTACCATTTCTTTCTTCCCTTCTCCCTCTCTATGCACCTTTTTTTTTTCTCCTCTGCACAAACTTCCTTACTTAAAAATGTTGCACGTGGCTGTACACCAGGTTAACCTTTCAGTGGAAAGTCATCATTTATACAGAAGAGTACAATGGTCATAGCCATGCTTACATGATATCCACAAGGAGTCCATTTGGCTCCGTTGGTAACTAATGTGTTGATACATTTAATCAATATTGACAACCTCTGCTCAGCAAGATATGCAAGCTAGACTGGTGTATTGTATGATTGTGATCTACAATAACATACGATGTTGACGAGTGATGCCCGGTGCTGTAAATGCTTTGTGCCTTTTAAAATAAAGACTTTAAAAAAATACACAAACACAAGATTTTCCAGTGGGAATTTATTAACACAAACAAAACATCGAGATTGTACCATTTATCTCCCATACTTCTTACTGGTAATAACCACCAACTACAAATGGAGAAAGAAAAAAAAAGTTCCCACTGGGCCATTTTCTTGAACTTTATATTATGCCAATTCCAACAGCTTAGCTGCATCATCCTCCTTGCTGTATTCCCTCACACTGTGCAATCTTTGATGGATGCAACTAAGCTATGTATGCAGATACTTGAAAATGGCAGTTTACCTTTAATTGCTGTGGTCCTTTTGATTTGAAAAGACGACAATTAAAAGACGAAAGCAGGCCTATATACTGAAGTAACAATTCCTTATCCAGCCTAGCCATCCTGCCCCCTAAATCCAGAACATAAAAAAAACATAACAGACATTGCCTACAGAAACTGCTGAACAAGCTCTGTCTAGTGTTGGTCACATGATCCCGAATGAAGTGGAGCTTCAGAGTCCAAGGACAGCCAGTCAATGGTTGGCTAGAGATAGAGAAATCAATCTTTTAGCATTCAGTCATGTGACCAGCATCAGAGGACGCTTAGAACACAAGTTTTTGTAGTAATGTTCTTTCAGCACTTTTGCTGTTTTATACAAGTTAAAAGGAGCAGCAAGGACAGGGGAAGGTTTCTTACTGTCAGACAAGCCTGCCTTAAAAATCAGGGTGTTTTTTTTTTGTCTAATTGCCTACCAGCAGATAACTGTTCTTCTGCCGCTATCTACCGACAGGCAAGTAGTTATTACCAACCCCCCCACCCCCTCAAATTAAGGGTAACAATTCCATACCCTTTGGCCCATATGTATCAAACATATTGGGAAACATTTCAATAACTTGTCCAGAACCAACCTTGAGGAAATGGCTCCCACCACATATTGAGAAAGTGAGAGATTCTCTTCAATAAATAAAACAAAATTCCATCATCCTGCATATAGTTTTGTTCACCTATCTGGGAAAGCAGATTTTAAAACAACAAAAATGCACCAAGTGGATCACCACTTCTGAAATGGATCCCAATATGATGAATTCCTCATTTTGACCCCCCACCCTCCCCCCAACCCCAAATAAAAAGCCAGAATGAGATGCGTAATCCATCAAAGGACAGGTTTTTATAAACTAAAATCCAATTTCACCATACTGCTTTGTAAAGCCAGTTTAGTACAAAACGTGCAAAGAGAAAGATGCTCCCATCTCATTCTGGAAAGAAAAAAAAAAAAAAAGGGAAAAATATTTCCCTGCCAATATTTATGCGGAGAATGGAGAAACCATTTCTCAAAATTTAAGGGTATAAGTGTGAAGCTTTGAAGAATGATTTGAAACGCTCCACTGGTAACTCTGGGTCCAACGTTAAGGTTTACCGCCAGAGGTCAATTGCAGTCATTTTAATGGAACTCAAAAGTACACAAAACAATGTCATCTGTCAATCTTTGGAAGACTGCAACGTAAAGAACTAATTTCAGGTATACATCTTGTATTAAAAAGGGACAAAAAGATTTTGTTATTGTAGAGCATCTTTTACTTTGCCTTTAATCATGCTCTTCAACATAGAATACCTAGACAGCACCTAAGCAAAGGCAGCTTGAAACTTGCCGCCATTATATTCCTAGGGTGCTCAGTGTGTAAACTCCTTGTGCAATATAAACTGAGCACAGAACCTCCTGTGTATATATAGAGGTTTAAAATTTAGTGGTGGGGAAAAAGAATAAACTCACGGGTGGATCATAGCTTTAGCACCAGCAACACTGCCACTTGGAGTTGCAGTAAAACACTGCACGATGATAGGTGCAGCTTCAACAGGATAACTGGGCAAAGGAAGGTCATTTATTGCACCATGATCCCAATAAATGAAAAGCACAGGAAAGATTTCAGTAGCAGAACAGCTGCAAGTCTAATTTAAACTAACCCCATTAATGACTTTTTGCCAATTATGTCTGCTTGCAACCTACGTTTTTGGGTTTTGTGAAAATTACACAGCAGTTGCCAATTCCTGTGCTTCCGAGGGGCACCTGGATGTGCAGAACCAAACATTCTAGAACAAGTTCTAGTATAAACCTTAGAACAAAAAGGATATATTACAGCTGCGCAATCCAGGTGGTGAGGTAAGGGACAAAAACTTAAATGATGGTTACTTTTAACGTTTAGGATATGAGGCTCATTCTTTAAGTCAAAGAAAAGGCATTTCACTGAGAATAATCCAGAATTTGTACGATGGAGCAAAAGTCAGTTTTAAGAATTATGGAGGAAATCCCATTTCCAGACAGTCCAAAAAGGTTTTGTAACTCGGGGGGGGGGGAAATAACATGCCATCACAAATTTCTCAACAACGCTGCAGGAATGAGCCTCTCGAATTTAGATGAAGTCCTAATTTATAAAGAAACCTTCAGTAAACCATCAATGACAAAACTAAAAGTTATACCTCCCCCATAAAAAAAAAATGTATATATATATATTTACAGTTTTGTACAAGTATACACATCAAATCCAACAGAATTTCCCCCTCATGCAAGGGACATCTTGTAAGAGAGGAGTATGGATCTGTATTTATCTGAACACAAATGTTGCTTGCAGGTTAATAAAAATTACACATTTAGTGTTCAAAAAAGAACAAAAATCAAAGTAGCAACTGCCATAAGGTGGAGAGAATGGAAAAATATGAGTTTTTACTCCCTAAATTGTTTTCTGACTCAGGCTCTCATTTTTTTTGCTCGTGTAATTACAGGTGTACATATTTACAAATCATTGGGACCCCTGAAGCAAGCTTTTGATTTTTTTTTCAGATGAAAGTATGCATGGAACAGTTTTACAGCTAGTAGTAGTTCATGATTTGCAAATTCCACATATGGTTAAGAAATAAATTGAGGAAATTAATATCGTGTTCGTCTTATAAGGGGCTGCATGACAGGTCTTATACATAAGGCACTTTGCACAAGTAAAAGTTTGCTTATGGAATATCATTAAAACATGAACTCTAAACTGCCACAAGAAGGTGTACAGGAGTAATGACAAACTGGTTAACTGTCTGCAACTTTCCAACTGAAGGGACTTTCTAAACCAAGTATCACATTGCTGACTTGGGTGAAAACAAACCATTAGAAGCAATAATAGTGCAAGGGTCCTCAAGCAGAAAAGTGGCCAGAGGGTTTTTCTACTATGCACTCCCTCTCCCAAATGAACAGAATGAGAAAACAATTAAGTGCAACTACATTAATCTTATGAGCACACAGTGCAAACAATGGGGTCATTTAAAATGTCTGAGGGAAAAAAAAATAATAAATCAGGCTCAAAACTGCTGGTAAGTGTTCTGGAAGGCAGGAGATAGGAAAAAAGCCATGAAATGGGGGAGAAGCCCTCAACAAGAAAATTATGCATGTTGGGATCCTCATCTTCTTGGGGCCAGACCATGCCTAGAAGAAAGAAAGAAAAAAAAAACCAAACAATTAAGCAGTCCATACACTTTAAAAATCTCTTTAAATATGGGGATGGGGGGGGGGAGGGAGTCAACATTCTTAAAGTGGTCATACACTAGTAGGTTTTTGCTGGAAAATTTTTGTTTCTGGCATGAACCCTCATTCGATTATAGCTCTAATACGCCATCAAACAGTCAAATGTCAATTTCGGAAATTGTTCCTCAGCCATACTAACCAACCAATTTGATGGATGGAAATAATTTCCTTTTGTGCATGTGCTGTGTTCTTCCTAAGATTTTTGCAAACGAAAACCCCACTGATTCATCGATTTTCGTACAGTCAGAACTAGGGATGCACCGATACCGTTTTTTCTATATAGAGTACAGAGTACCAATATTTATATTTCGGTACTCGCTGATAACGGCTTCCTGGGCCATCTGGAAGCCAGGCAGCGTGTCATTACCCACTGCCCAGATTCTTGATTGCCCGGGAAGCCGACTCCATTCTGTTTGCCCGGCTCGATGCCGATTGGCCGGGAAGCCGGCTTCCCAGCCAATCAGCATCAAGGCCGGCCAAACAGATCTGACAATATGGTGACACGATCCCCACCCTGCAGACACCTCATTCCCCTCACATAGATTCTTAGCAGCAGTCATTACCGTACCAGTCCCTCGGCCAGCTGGGCAGACACCGCTCTCCAAGATCCGCCCGTGTGATCGGTCCTCAGCCTGCTACTGCGCGCACTGCCCAGCGCTCTCATTCAGAAATCCTCTGCATGCGCAGAAGCAGGCTGAGGGTCGATCACACAGGCGCTGTGCACACAGGAGACATGGGCAGATCCGGGAGAGCGGTGTCTGCCCAGCTGGCCGAGAGACTGGTACGCTAATGAGTGCTGCTAAGGATCTATGTAAGGGGAATGATTTGTCTGCAGGGCGGGGGTCGGTGTCACCATATTATCAGATTTATTTGCCCGGCTCGATACTGATTGGCTGGGAAGCCGGTTTCAGCATCGAGCCGGCCAAACAGCATGGAGCCAGCCAAACAGCATGGAGCCAGCTTCCCAGCTCCATGTTCCCTCGCAGCAATGCCTGTCAGAGGAAATCTCCCTCTGTTTGATGCTCATTCAAAAGACCGCTCGTGTATGTTTTTTCATTAGGTAATCACAGTGTATGGCCACCATTACCCTGTCATTGATCTTGTATAGGCATGACTTACTAAATAGTAAAGCAAACCTAGTACAAAAGCTGTAGGAGCACGGGTAGCCAAACGTTGGCCACCCGGTTGTAGGAAAATTATCACTCCCATCATGCATGTGCCTTTGGAAGTCATGCCTGTCAGTCTTGCAATGCCTTACGGGACTTAGTTCCACAACAACTGGAGGGCCGAAGTTTGGCTACCCGTTGTAAAATATAACCCTACAAAAATTAAGTATTCTGTCCATTCAATACCTTACATTACTTGAAAAAAAAAAATGCATGTGCATTATTGCAAGAGTGAGATATAGAATATACATATATACACCAACCCACATGAGTAAAGTGACTCTTTAGCTCTTAAAATTGGTATGAAAATATCAAGCACGCAGTTTAAGTAAAAAAAATTGGTCATTAAAGTAAACACTGACTTGCAGATTAACGTTTTTCCTCTCCAGACTCGCTGTGATACTCTGCCACATATAGGCTTTTGTCGATACTGCTGGGTATGGGCTTGATCTCTGTTCCCAGCTGCTCTTCAATACTTTTAAGGTTAAATCTGTCATCATAGGTGATCAGGTTGATGGCAAGCCCAAGATGACCAAAACGACCTTGTAAAATAAAAAAATTCATAAGATAAAACTTTGGTCTTTCAAAACACTGTCTTCAAGATTAGGAAATTACAATGTCCAAATATGCCATTGGACAGTCATACTAATAAATGATGTTCTGAATGAAAGCATTTAAAAAAGGTAACACCAGCACTTAAATCACAAATATAATTTTACATTAACATGGAAATCACATCTCAGGTCTACTTCAGCAGCAGCTGCATCACAAAATAGACCATGACAACTCATTCTGCGTCTCAAAACATTACTATAAAGTAAAGTCAGTCTTCCACAAACAAACCTCACAATGGTCATATGCACAAGAATAGCCTAACAAAAAACATATGTTCCATTTTCCATAAATTCTTTTTGCAGTAATTCTAAAGCACAGCTGGCCTTTAGCAACTGAGGTATAACTGAGTCTAAGCGAATTACAAAACATCACTCTGGTGACAGGTATCATATTTTAGATTACCTCTCACTTTGTTAAAGTGAGGGTGGCTCACAAAGACTCATAGCAAACGACTTTGAAATGCTTACCTGATCTGCCTATGCGATGTAGATAGGTCTCTGCCAACTTTGGAAAGTCAAAGTTTATCACCACATTCACAGCTTGAATATCAATACCACGGGTAAACAAATCTATAAAAACACAATGATAAAATGGACAAGTTACATCACCCGTTTTCTGGAAGACAATATGTACAGTAAACTAGAAAAACATGCTTGTATAAAGGTAGAAAATGCCACCGTGCTGCTACAGGTTTCCCCATAATTGGAGGTACTAGTACATTACCAATGAGGAACTGAGAAGCCAGGGAGCAAGTGGAAAGTATGTATTGACCAAAGTGTTTATCCTAAACCAGGGGTGGCCAAACTATGGCACTCCAACAGTTGTGGAAGTCCTATAATGCATTGTAAGACTGACAGCCACAGGTAGATGCACGAGGTTTTGTAATTTCTCCAGAGCTGGAGGGCTGAAGTTTGAATACCCCTGCCCGAAATCAGCGACCATGTAAAGCAAATCTCAATTTAGCTGAAAGGCAAACAAATACCTTCTAAATGAGGCCCACAATCTACACCATACCATCCCCACGAGCCTCAACTTCTATCCCAATCTAGAGCTAAACCCTCTCCTTGCCATTCAACAATCTAGGCTCTTGTGGGATTTAGCATTAGATGTTAAAATGGCTTGGGACAGAGATTGAACTCTGCTGCAAGTCCTGCTTGTGAAAGCCGATCAGAAGTCTGTATTCTGTCCTCAGACACAACAGATGCAAATTAGCACATTCCAGAAAATCCTGAATAAGGAGGGAGTCAAATATTTTAAAACAAACTAGGGAACAGTAGGGAATGTGGGAGATAACCAAGGACTCCACTTTGTGGTATGAGCGTGTACAAGTGAAAGCTAGGTGCAGTGTGAGGAGCAATGGAACTCAGTTTGTCCCCTCAAAAAGCCTGCCAGATTTTCAACACCCACTATGAACTGCCCGTTATGTAAAGGATTAACCCCACAATAGGTTTTTAAAATCTTACCAGTGCAAACAAGGTTTCGGCATAAGCCATTTCTGAAATCGTGGAAAACTCTATTCCTGTGCTCCTGGAAGACACAATTATAAAAGTTGTATTACATTTCTCATGGTCACCCTAAAGAACGGAGAGGACATTAATACTGGTTTAATCCATGCTCTGAATAGCTTTAGCAGTTACTCAGCATAGTTATGTATATATAAAAAAAAAACAAAAAAAAAAACAGCTTGTATGCACTTTATTGACCAGATCATTTGTAATCAGGGTAAGTGATGGGAGTCTAAGATTTCTACCAATAAAGGAGGTTCCACTAGTTGCTAAAATAGTTCAATCAAATAATTTTAACGGCTGCAATCAGACCCGTTTAAAATGATTCTGGCCGATTCCTGTACATAAAAGGAATTGAAGATGGTTTCGGAATTAGTTCAGGTAAGATTATTCCTGAGAGCCAGCGGGGCCGACTAGCAAGATACTGAAGCTTGGCCAAGATCAATCCATCCACACAGTTTAGCGTAGATGGAGGAATCTGTTGCACTTTTTCCATCTGACCATAGGAAATCTGCAGATAATCTATAGGTGTATGGATAGCTTCAGGCCCCTGAGCTGTGCATTGGCCAACCGCCGTAACCAACCGCAGTCATTTCCAGTTCCACCATTCAGTGATGAAGCCAGCCATTGTTAAATTGTGCTGAGACAACCCATCCTTCCAGCACCATTTTAATTACTGTGCCAGGGACTCAAGTGGCTAAATGCAAAATCACTGACAAGTATGCAAATACGTTTTCCACCTTTTCTCGTATACACATTCGTTTCAGGTTGGCATTCTAAGCTATAATGAATGAAAAGACAACGGATTGCCAGAAGCACGCAGTTTTTTTTTCAGCAGGTAACCTGGCTTGTGTCATGCCGTGAGGCTTAGCTGTGGTAGGTAATTCAAGTGAAGTAAATGGGCTGCCTACTACAGTGCACTACACAGTGATGCGACATCAGAGGTGTAAACAAAAGGCAGACAGAACCGAATGTAGACACTGAATGTCCTGCCCATCAAAACATTTACTTTTAGAGCACCACAAGGAGTCTGGTCAGTACTATTTTTCCTGGTCCCACCAAAACTCTCCCAACATCTGTAAGGCCTAACCAGTGTAGTTTCCAGGAAAATGCACAGACATCACAAGCAGAAGCTGTTTGCTTGCATGCAATACACGGTCATAGATCATCCATTTTTATTTTTGTCCGGCACCATGTGACCCAAACATTGCACTTCACTACATTTAAAATTTAGTTTCTACATATTTCTCTTACGACCCAATGGCTAAGCTGTGCTTTTAAAAAAAACTGAGGCTACTAATGCCAACCTTCCAGAATGCTAGTTGCCTTTCCATGGCTCCAATACCCGCTTAACAGCCCCAAAACAAGCATGCAAGAAATTTAAGTCAAGCATCTCGCTCAAAACAGTTGTAAAATGTTGTTCGAAAATAAAAATATTGGGAGCATTGGGGAAATAGGGCCAGTTATATACAATGTCATCTATGCATTGGCTATATCTGTATATTGTAATTTGATATAAAATGGGGTCACATTTATAAAATCAAAAGGTAGTACAAAGGAACCCCAAAAAGTAGATGGTCAAACCTAAAAAGATCAAAATGTTAGACATGTTAAATTCTTTTAACTCACTGAACTCAATTTTGCAACCTTGCTTATTAAATTTAAAGGGAAATTGTTCAAAACGAGCATAAAAGTAGTAGCAGCATTACAAACCTGTCTCATCTTTGCATGTATATAGAAGCACGAATATCCCAGCTGAGATATTTTCTTGGCCAATAGCTCTACCCGCTGAGATGAGTTGCAGAAAATTATTGACTGGTTTATCTGAAGCTGTGAATAAATCCAAAGCAATTGTTAGTTTTGTATCTTTCTAGGAGCATAAAACTACAGCTCTCATCGTAGGTCAACAAAAAACAGGTGATAAAGAGTTTGACAATACAAAGTACTAAATATTTGGCCATTTGTCCTCAGGCATTTCTATTACTGTTGGATAATTTCTGTAAGTGTTCCATGCACGGGGAAAACTAAAGTATTCCTTAGAGGGTTAGTTCACTTTTAGAGAAAAAATACCTGATGCAGTCTCTAAACACCATTACAGAACCCTAAACTAATACAATTTTACAATATGCATGTATGCTCTTTCCATACCTGTAGGCCTTTAGTAGTAGTAGGGACACTTTAAAGGACTGCAAATAGCACTGACAAAAGGAACAGGCATACACAAGCTAAAACAGATTCTTTTAATTTGGGAGTAATGGCAGAGGACTCTGACTTCTGGAAGTCATGTTTGTCAGATAAAGATTGGAGCGACTCAAATATCAAAGTAAAGAGAATCCAGCAAACTGCCATTAAGCGGGTGAGGTGGTGACCAGATGGATGGCGATGTCATAGCAAAAGTTCACAAATGCAATATCAGCATGCACAAGTTTAAAAATGCAGACAGGATTAATCACCCACAGAAAGCGATGTTTCCAGGCCACCAAGGACTTTTTCCTCAGGCAGTAGTGACTATGTTGATATGTTGTTTTTGTGGTTTGAATTACTGTTGTATTTATACGGTGTCCTCCAAATGCTTTACTGTGTGTGAATTTTGTATTTTTTGTGCTGCCACAGAGATCTTCAGTACATAGATTTCCATGATTTTGTATTTGCCTCCTTCATTAGGTTTTAAATGACCCTTTTGTAGTGCTGCCCCGGGAGTGAGCTTGGCGACACTTCTGGTTCAGGCAATTCCCGGTTTTTGTCTCTTGGTGGTGATTAGGCTGCATGGCCTATAGGCAGTATTTCACAGCTACAGGGGCCAGGGTGCATCTGGGGGCATGTTCAATGACTGATGTTCGGATCAGATGTCATAATTTTGGATCTCAGCCCTTGTTTGTGATAGGGCCCTGATTGTGCAACGGCTGCAGAGATGCATGTAATCTTTAGTTGCTTTCCAATCGATCATACACATCAGTTATATGCAGTTTTGGGATGGACATGATTAGGATCTGGCTTGACTGTTATATCTCACAATGATTTAGGATGGATTGTTTAATATTCTTGTTAATTTTTTAAGCCTGTAAAGGATGTTTCCTTTGGCAGGGGACCCTGTAGGCTAATGTGCTCTAAATAACCTGTGTCGGTTATGTTCTGTCACTACGACCAAAGTCCTCAGGGGCCTTGTTGCTTTCTATGGTTGACGAATAAATGATTTTCAGAATGAGTCTTAGAGGCTGCAGGTAAATGAGGTACAGAATCTGCAGACTCATGTTTATGGCCTCTGTGGGGACAATAGCTGCAGTTCTCAAAATTATCCCATCTTTTATCCGCTCCTTCTCTCTAATTGTTTACCAGGATACAAGGTGATCAGTGAATAAACCAATCACAAATTACAAGGTGGGCTGTGAAAGGACAGATAACACCAGGTTTGCTACAAAGTATGAGAGCGATGGCTGTGCTTTCTGGTACATGCAAATGTACGAACTGCGAAGATCACTTCTATTTACAGTCCAAGTCCAGAGACCACTCTTTTTGCAATAAATTTCATTTATAAAGATCTGTTCCGCTATAAGTTCAAAATGTTGAGTGGTCACCAGAACAGCAAGTGGGAAAACCTTTCGATGGGGACAACAGGTTTCACTGAAAACAAACATTTTCCTCACTTTAGAGCAATTTCCTCATTTTCTGTTGTGTCTACAGACAAGAAATGAAGGGAAATCTCTCCAAAGGAACACTGATGACAAAACCCAAATGGGGTTTTAACCTATCGTACTCGATACACAATTAAATAGGGTTGTGCTTTAAATAAACTTTAATATTCCACCCAACACAAACTACTCTGCTTTAAATTTTACTGTATTGCATATCAAAAACCTTTTCAGAAAAGACAGAACCCCCCCCCCAAAAAAATGACATGATAATTTACAGGAAAAAAAACAAACAATTGAAACACTTACCCTTGAAAAAAGCGTGTTAAGGCAGTGAACCTTTTGCCTTTCCGTAACATAGGCATAGTACTGTGTAACTCCCTTCAATGTAAGCTCTTCCATCAGGTTGATCTCATATGGTTTTTGCAAGTGGGAGGACTAGATACAGATTAGTAGGGATAGGTGTAAGAAACATGACAACTTAAGATTTAAACTGACAACACATGCGTGCTAGTTCCTATCTGGCTCATCAGAACCGCTTCAATTGACATTTATCTTACAATGCTGCTACAGTAGAAACACTATTAGCTCACAGGGTAGTAACATTTTTAAATCCCAACCATAGAAAACTTTTGTTTTAGAGATAGAACTTTTTTTTTTTTAAAGTAATGTCTCCTAAAATTTATTTAGGGCTCATTCACACTATTGGAGTTCTGTGTGAAGGGAACGCCAACACACCTACGTTGTGCAGCATAACACAATTGCATTTCCGCACAGACAAGAAGCTGCATTGTGGTGGTGTAAAATAAATGCTGCATGTCCGCAGGAATATATGTTGTGGTGCATTAGCAGCCTTTTCAAACCAAATGGGCTGCCTTAATACAATTAAACTACGTAGCAGATTGAAAGGGCCCTTCATTTGCACACTTACACAGTAAATGTGCAAATTAGATGCCAAGACATTAAAGTTTTACAGCACAGTTCCCAAATGTAGACCTGTGATTTGAAGTTAGCCAACTTACAGACAAATGTCATAATTGTTTATGCCCGAGTGATTGTTGTACAGGTGTTTTGCTGCGTCAGAAGCGGCATGCCGTTACAGCGCAGAGAATGGCTGCTTTGGACAAAGCGTTCTCAGGAAAATCTCAACAGATTCCCTGCTAATGCACCAATATTTAGGGAGGAGGCTATTTGAGCAGACATCACTGTTGCTCATGCCTCACACTACTTGCATTCAAAATGTGCACACTCGATTCAATCATTGTATCATTAAAGTAGGTAATATACATAGCACAGCACTATTCCAGAAAGAACAGTAAAATATAGATTCTTACCATGAATTTCTGTACACTTAGAGGAAAAGTGGCTGAATAAAGGAGAATCTGTCTGTTTTTAGGTAGCGTAGAAATAATATCCTCCATTATCTGTACAAAATCTTGAGAAAGCAGTTTGTCAGCCTGCAAAGGGGGAATATGTTACATTTGCTTAGTAGATAAACTAGTTCATATTAACCCCTTCATGACTGAGGCCCTTTTTTCATTTTTTGCACCCATGTTATATTCCACATTTTAGGCCTGAAAATGACGTAAAACCCCAACATAAACTGAAACAGTTCATTTTACCTCGTGAGAAGATTGCTGCTATTATAGTTTTGTAACTCCACTATAAAGAGTGGTGACATTTCATTGCATAGTGCAAAATGCATATTTCATAAAAACAGATATTACAAACTTGAGCCAATATAGTTGGTGATTTTCTAAGTTTGACAGTTGTGTGATATACATTTCTAAATTCCTTCTACCATGATAAAGTACTTACATGAACTTTTACTAATTAGAATTATACTGAGCCAAAAATATTCTTTATACTTAGTGGGCAGTGATACCCAACGCATCGTTTTCCTAGGCCAACTAAGCCCTCCCTCCAAAGGTTACGTGTAGCTGTCTCCTGCCAAGATCTCTGCTATGTGTACCAGTCAGCACCACAAAGACTCTAAAATCCTCCCTCCCATGTGCACTGTATTCTACATCCTTTAAGGAAAGGCTGTGCAACACTTGTCATGGAAACGTAAAGCCTTTCCATAGGAATAATCGAAGACTAACGTGCAGGACAGGAGAGTATTCTGAAGAAGCTGTGCAACACCACAGAGATGCACGAATGATATCCCTTGACGCCCAGTACATAAAGTTCAATGCGCCAGGCTTTTCTTTCTGGCAAGCAGGGCTAAATGTAGAGCAGGGGAGCTACCGCTCGTTTTGTACAAGTGATCTGGGCAGCTGTACACCCAACCAGCCTGATTGTCATGGACAAGTAGACTGCCCCGCTTTCGTCCTTGGACAAGTATTTTTTTTTTTTCTTTTAATTTCCACGCGCCTGCGCCAGCCAGCTTAGAGCAAAAATGTCACCAAATCTGGTACAGCTATGGTAGCGAAACCTTGCGTTTCACTTTTTTTCAGAAGCAAACCATGCCTCCCATCTCTGTGGTTCTGCAATATTAAAAATATGGGAGGACCTTACCACATATCAGCATGACTACTTTTACCCCTGAATATTGTGCTCTTTTCAGACTACGTCTCTTGGGTTTGACATGTCTACTTTCCAGTTTTCTCCATCTCATGGTCAATTGGCTTGCGACCAAGATGGTTAAGCGGAGGGTACTTCCCTTGCTCTCTTCTCATCTCCTACCTCCATTCACTATCCTTATACCCCTCGCTCAACCCTCCAACACCCCCCACCACCCACTTTTTTTCTTCTTTATTTGGTATGCTATCCTTTGACAACAATCCTGTCTTTAACTGGGACTGTTTTTGTTCGGGTTAATGGATCTCATGATCATTTGCCTCTGTGCTACTCCCTTAACACCGATGCTTTCTATTTAAAGGTTTACAATTACTCTCTATGCAGACAGTGTGATTGCCCTATTTTGTCCCCATCATTTCTATTCTGTATTTTGCCATCTTCTGTTTCTGTGCTATCCAAAGACATGCTGGTAGGTTACTTGGCTCCTCTCTAAGTTGGCCCTATATGTATGCGAGATAGGGACCTTAGATTGTAAGCTCCTTGAGGGTAGGGACTGATGTGAATGTGCAACTATGTAAAGTGCTGCCTAAAATTGTCGGCGCTATATAAATGCCTGTAATAAATATCAGTTTGTATTTGATTTGAATTGATGTAAAATGTGCTTTTAAAAATACAAAATACATAAAATATAATATATAAAATAGATAAAAATTGGTACAGGTAGGAAGAGGGGCTGGGCAAACTTTAAGGTGCCTATATATAAAATAACGGTAACTGCAATAAAATTACAATTTTACTTCAAAGCAAACCCTTTCCTTTCGCAAAATGTTTAACAAAAAAAGGCCTTCTTAACGGTTTGATATTTGAGGAAAGATGTAAAGAATATTCTTACCTCATCTAAAACTATCATCTGAATATGGTCTACTTTAGCTACGCCTTTTTTGATGAGATCCAGAATCCTCCCTGGAGTTGCTATTACCACATGAACTAGAAAATAAAGAACAAATCATGCAAGAGATCAAACATTTACAAAGTGGATTTTAAAGAGGTACTTTAACCTTATCTTTAAAATGACAAAGACCTTTAGAAATGTTTAGTAAGGACAATACGCAAACTAATACTTCTAGATAATTACCGGCTTTTTATTCTTTACATAGCTATTTTTTTTTTCCTCCCAAGTCTTCTCACAGTGGTTGTTTTTACTGAGGGCAGATTAATAGATCTCCCTTTACTTCCTGGAATTTTGGCACATGTGACCATGCACATCACCTCAGGGGAAGAAAATGCCTTTCCCTGAGATCAAGATTAAAGATGAGATTTCCCAGCAATGCTCTGCTAACCTTCCCAGTGTGCATCTTTTAAGCCAGGGCTGCATTACTAATGCCGAAGAGTACCAGGAAGTGAATAACAAATTCTTTTTAAAAGCAAAATATGCTTAACGAATGGAAGATTTCATATCGGCATGTAGAGCCACATGACTTGTAGTGAACAGGGTAAAGATCCACTTTAACTCATGGTAGAAATACATTGGGTCCCTTGATGAACAGCAGAGGATTCATGGGAAATGTTAAATGGGAACCTGCCTGAATGGAAAGATGGGAGCTGCCTCTTATAGCGCAACTACTTTGTAGGTATCTGATCTCCACATACAGGTGAAACTCGATTAGAATATCGTGCAAAAGTTCATTTATTTCACTAATGCAACTTAAAAGGTGAAATATAGGAGATAGACATTACCTGCAAAGCAAGATAGTTCAAGCCTTGATTTGTCATAATTGTGATGATTATGGCTTACAGCTCATGAAAACCCCAAATCCACAATCTCAGACACCAACAACAGTCATGCACATGATCATTCTAGGCCACCAATTTACTAAATACAGAAGAATGAACACCGGAACATGCACCTTCAAATGCTCATTTGCAATGGCAGCTTCTACAGATCCATTGTAACTGGGTCCTTTTAGGGGAACCCATAACAGAATAGAAGCAATTCCTGATACACTATATATAAAAAAAATATACTTATTCCCTTCCAGGTATGAAAAACAAACAAATCTATATTGGGGAAAAAGAGCAAGGCATACAATAGGGGACATTTATCAAGCAAACCGCAGTTAATCACAAAGCAGGCCGCCTCTTGGTTAGCTAAGTCTGTCTGTATTCCTGGGCAGCCAAGTGCAACAGTTTGCAAAGTTCTGAGACAGATTACAGAAGTGACTTTCACTTTAAACAGATGCATAATAAAGTGATGAGGGTCAGTTTTTTTTTCTGCTGCAGTGCAACTTTAGAGCAGCTGAGGGCAAAGTTATGATTCAAGCTGTAACCTTGTAGTAATCCGGCACACAATTTGTCATGCTGCAACTGGCACTGAACCTGGAGTTCTTTCATAAATGTCCCCCAATGTGTATGAAAAAGAGTTAAGAGTCATCCATAGCAATACCTTTTTTTGCAACAGCCATCTGATATTTAAGGTATTTCTATAAAGCTCTGAAAATGTACATATTGCTCTACAGATCATACATCAGAGAAATCAAAGTACCCAGAGGAAACCCATGCAACGTGTAAACTCCATGCAGAGAATCCTGACTGGGATTTCAAACCGAGTCAGTGCTGCTAGGCAGGCACACTAAACACTAACCCCCTGTGCTGCCCAATATAAGTTCTTCAAAGCATTTCTCTACTTCCTCTACTTCCTCACCAGAGGTACAGACTAGGGCAATATTTCCGTTTAGAGATGCAGCAGTTTCATTAAAAATCAGGACAGTGCTACTCTTTGCTAAGCCACCTAAATATAATTATAATTCATGGCCATATAAAATGTACTTATGTAAACTAATTGTAACAGAGTTATACATGCCACGTATAGCTCCGCAACGTGCAAAAGATGAAGATTACTTAAACCTCCCAAAAATTATATATATTCCGATAAGAGAACAAAAATTGTGACAGTTGCAATTTAACATTAGCATATTTTTTTACTGTAAATATGGGTTGATAAACTAAAGTTAATTCTGGTGTGCACCTTATATTACCCTATTTAGTTAAAATATAAAAAAAAAAAAGAGTAAACAGATACCAAACATGTCAAGCCTTAAAATTGCTTGCATATGTGATAATTTCTACAGGTCAATTTTACAGTGAATTACAACCGAAGTTTGCTCTTACAGACACGTGTGGTGCAAGTGCCTTTTTTGTACATAGGCGTACTGGATAGGAATTCACGTTCGTGTGTGTGTACGTGGGATGGGGATAGGGGGCGCTTTAAAATAAAAAAATAAAGTTTTTGGGAGGTATTTCACATTTTTCAAACGTATTCATTAACGTTCTTGCTTTTTCATTGGGGGCTGACAAGCAGACTGCAGAAGACATGTAAACAAACTCCCAGCTGCTACAGCAACCATGAGTCAGTTTACAGTCTCTGCTGCCAGCGTAAGCCTTACATTGGTGGCAGTGAAAGGGTTAAATCTTGTTTTGCGAAATACAGTACTCTTGACAAAACATTGTTTCCTTAAAAGGAGAACTATGAGGTGAGTGCTTTTCACTCACCTCATAGTTCTAGCCGACCTGTGACAATGAGACTGTCACATGTCGGCTCAGTAGATCGGGGCGTTCGCTCACCTTTCGATTCTGTCACGGCTCTCTGCCGTGACAGGGGAGGGGCTTGACCCCCCCCCTCCCCGCTGACTGGCGGAAAGGACAGGGGAGGGGGCGGGTATAGTTGGCTCTGATTCTAGATTGGCAGAGCCAGCTGTCAGTCATGCAGATGGGCGGATCCCAGCATGATTGTCGGGATCCGCTTCAGCGTCTCAGTATGCCGCGAGCAGCAGCAGCTCGCGGTATAGTGAGCCTAGGGTGATGGGAGGACGCTAGTTTGTGTCCTCCCGTTACCCTGAGAACTATGATGAAAGCCTTAACCCCATAGGTCTCCCTTAACATTGTTCTAAATGCTTATATCATTTGGCTCAACCCACATCAGTGAATCGTATAAAAGGCCCGAATTTTGCAGAAGGTGCTAAAAGCATTCTGACTTCTAATTAGGAGGGTGTCACCTACCTGTATCATCCAGTCTCATTATATCATCTCTTAGGTTGGTGCCTCCAGTTGTTGCCATGACCTTTACCCCTCCAAGGTGCTTGCTAACTTGGATACAGATCTGACTGACCTGAAGTGCAAGCTCTCGAGTCGGTACAATCACCATTGCTGAAATAAAAGATTCACAATACATAAAATGCGTGATTTGACAATTTGTTACTAGATATACTAGAAAAAAAAAAAGCTTTGGCTCTTGGTACTGAACATATATACTGGATGTGCCAAGTCTGTACCCACCTTGTATGCAGTCCTTCTTTAGGTCCAGCCGTTCAAGTAAGGGAATGAGGTAGGCTCCACTCTTGCCAGTTCCATTCTTAGCTCTAGCCAGGATATCCCTACCAGACAAAGCAATAGGAATGCTCTCCTCCTAAAGAAAGAAAAATGAGTCACGGTATTGTCAAGGTATAATGTGCAGAGTCTCACCCATATTTTAGTTTTACAAACCTGGATTGGTGATGGTTTTTCCCATCCCATTTCAAAAATCCCCATGAGCAGCTCTCTTTTTAAGCAGTAATCTTCAAACTCATTGCCTTTTGTGGAGGTGACATCCTGTAAGGGAAGATGGAGGTCAATTTACTAGAGAAACTTGTGTTTCAAAATCGAACTTTCAAAACGATGAACCTTTAGAGATTTTAGTTTGTGACCAGATTTTCAAAGAAAGCAAATCAGTAAAAATCCTAAAATTCCTGAATAATCCCCAACACAGATCAAGGAGACTCCTTGCTTCCCTTCCCACACTTGCACCAGGTTTATGGTTTTGGTGACAAATGCAGTTATCTGAATTCTTAAACCATGCTGCACATGCACAATAATAAAACTAGTACTTTCCCCTATAGCCTCCTGAAAAAAGGCCACTTGATGGATTACCTTTACTAAAGATCATTTCTGTTCCTAGCAATATATCCTGAAGCCTCCGGCCTAAAATATTCAGCATTCAGAATATAATCCTGGTAGACAGATTACTTACTGCATCATCGCAGAACAGTTCTGTCTCCAAAGGGTTGTCTAGAAACGGCATGTTTACAACCCAGATGAATTGAAACATGTATAAACAGATTGGTCTTCAGTAAATGGAACCAACCACACTTGCATTTTCTTCTCATGTAGCAGTGACACGTGCAAATGCATTCGGTTAAGAGGAATGTAGGTCGTGTACCTGGCTCTCACCTGCTAATGTGATCATGATGTGTACATTCGTTGTTGGGGACATAAGGTAGCTGGAGAGTATTTTGCAGTGTTTTATTTAATAAATATGGGGAATGTAAAACTACAATCATCCTAACCCAATTCATTTGTACTTGTCGCCAAGAAGCATAGCTGGCAGCTTTGGGTGTGTCACATGATCACAAGTAAGGTGTTAAGCTTGCCATGCACCTATAGATTATCTGCAGAATTTCTATGGTCAGATCTCCATCTACGCTAAACTGTGGATGGAGAAATCTCCCACTGGGCCAAGCTTCTGTATCTTGCTGGTCGGCCCAGCTGGCTCTCAAAATACCTGAACAATGCCTGCATCCAATCAGATTGTTCAGGTTTTTTTTTTTTTTAATCAGAAGTCAACTTTATTGGACAAGTGCTTAGTACAAGGATGTTCAGGTATTTTGACAGCCAGCGGGGCAGACTAGCAAGATGCTGAGGTTTGGCCCAGTGGGAGATTCCTCCATCCACACAGTTTAGCGTAGATGGAGGAATCTGTTGCACTTTTTCCATCTGACCATAGAAAATCTGCAGATAATCTATAGGTGTATGGCCAGCTTTAGTGAGAATTCTAAGTGAGAATACAGAAATCAAGGCAAGCTGTAAAACACTGCTATCATTACAGGCATCAAGACAATACCCATCCTGCAACTTGTTAAAGTGCCCTTGTACCAGTTTGATTCCCACTGACTGGATGTGAAGTCCAATGCAGCACATAGTTTACAGACTGACAGGAAAGGCACAGAACCTGATTTACTAAAGCAAAACTAAACACTGCTCCCGGTGCTCAAGGGTTTTGCCATATTGTACAAGTATATGCAGTCATATTTGCACACTAATCCAGCAAAGCGACCTCCTCTAGCAAAGCCATGGCCACAATCTCCCTTGTTGCTCAGTTGCCTACACTAAAATCTTCACTTAGTCTTCCAGGTTTGATTAGCTGGCATAGGATGATGCAAACTCCTGCGTACGCACACAGGCGATATTTCATCCGGGCACCGAAGGCATGCCAAAAATGTATACAGATGTTCCTCACTTACCGACTTACCTGTTTTGCGACCACTCGCACTTACGACGGACCGCCGATCGACCTCCGACCTTCCGCGTCAGCGTCAGTGCGACGGGTCGCCGGCGGAAGTGACATCCCCCGATCTTCACTGCAGGTCTCGGTAAGTATTTCCATTGCCGGATGTACAGTACACTGTTCGGTACTGTACATCGGCAACGCTATACAGTACTGTACTAATGCAGTATAGTACTGTATAGAGTTCCTCACTTAACGACCAATCCGTTTAACGACCTGGTCGTAGGAACGGAACTCGGTCGTTAAGTGAGGAATACCTGTACTGTGCTGCTCATATGAGGCTCAGTGTACATTCTAAAAGAAACACTCCGAGCAGGAGAGCAGTTTTTAAAGTAGGAGACTATGGGTATGTCTTCTAAAATAAAAGCTTCTCTCCTGCCTGCCAGCAATGCTTTTTCCTAAAGGCTATAGCTCCACTGTATGTGATGTCAGGTGAAGTTCTGAACCTGTGTTCATACCAATTTTTTTATTTTCCTTGCACAACTGGACAAACAAAAAAACAAACCTAAAAAATAGCAGCTCATCAATCCTTAGAGATGCTCGCTACATTATCAATTTATAGAACACATTTTCTGCAAGTACAGAACAGTTTCTGTTCATCTTGAAAGCTTGTGTCCTTGTAACTTTCCATAGACCAAACTGAAATCTCAATGTCATTAGCTTTCCCATCCATCGACTGAGCTGTAAAACAACTCCCCCCCACTAAGACATGAGCATGTGAGGTGTTTGTAGTGCAAATCAGGAGAGCAGCCCAATATGATAAAGCTGCTCATCTACAAATACAGGGAGGAAGGATTGTCACATTAGTAAAGGAAGTGTAACTGGTAGAACAACCAGGTGAAAACAAAGGGAAAAGGTAAACTAACACAGCCACCTCGTCAAAGGACAGGTAAGCTGCTATTTCATTTTGTGATTTTGGGTTTTGATACACTAAGAAAATCCAGCCTACTCATATAGGCATGCGGAGCACATACCTACCTAGGTGCCTACCCCTTGTCTGCAGCTTCACTGCAGACTCAGAATTAAAGTAAAAGCAATGTTTACACTGACCAGTGTCTGACAACAGGGTACTAGAACCTGGTAGCCAAAAGGACTTCCTAGCCACCATGCTGGCCAGGAACTGGCCAAACATGACAAAATATAAAATAGAATCTCACCGAAGTCTTGATTCGAAGATCTTTTGGAGGGAGTTTTAACGTCTTCTTCCAGTCGTCACCAGGTCTACAAGCAAAAACACCATTTTAACATATAACGTTAATGAGTACAGTAAAACCCAAGTTAAATCTCCAGATGCTGGAATCAAATACGGGATCTAAAGGGCCCTCTTTTCCGCAAAGTATATAGTGGGCGCACATAATTTGAGTTACCACCATTATATACTGTAGCCACCTTAGTCCCAGGTGCAATTGCAAAACAGCTCTGGTTTGGTGGTTACTTGTTCCAGCACCATTTCCATTTAAATAAAGCATCTAGTCTCAGAAGGTTTAGGGCGGCACTGTGGGTGTTCACCGTCAACCATGATCAAGCACTAGGCCCAGAGATAGAATCAATCAGCTCCTGGGTTTGCAGACCTTTTGTGGAGTACTCTGTAGCAGCACAGTACACAATGCATTCACATTGTTTAATAGGCAGTGCTGTGACATCAGCACTTCTGATGGGCTCAGCAGCCAGCTTTAAAAAGGGTAGAGCTAATCCAGCTTCGCCCCCCACCCTACCTCACAGCAACAGTGATCTAGTGCTTTCTGATGAACCAAAGCAATGCTTCCCTTTTATAAAAGTGATGCAGCACTGCTCGGGTACATGAAGGGGCTAGATAAGGTCTTTGCTGACAAGAGGCAAACAGAACAGCACAATTTTCTAAGTTTGCAAACCTATAGACTTGCACAATAGATGTAGCAGTGCTACATCTATTGTGTAGCACTGCAAAGTGCAAAAAGTGAGCAAATAAGGCTTCACCCATGATCATACTACACAGAGAAACTTGGTTTTCCAAGACCCATTGATAAGGAACTTCTAAAGTCTATACATTGGCTTTTGCGCAGAAGTTCAAGACTTCACACTTGGTAAAATTTTCTTACTATGCATTATTGATTTTCTTCAAAAGAATGACAAAACCTTACGTGTGGGTACAACCTCGTCTACAATTATGTTTGCTGTACAGATAATGTATACTGCTAATAAGCAATAACTCATTTGTATTTTTCAGTCACTTGTTTTATTTAGCGTTTCCCTTAGTTGGTCCATACCCTCCTTGCACTGCATGTTACAGAGCCAGTAATCAAACTTAAATTGCCTTAGCCAAGTGGTCAGATGGAAAAAGTGCAACAGATTCCTCCATCTACGCTAAACTGTGTGGATGGAGGAATCTCCCCCTGGGCCAAGCTTCAGCATCTTGCTAGCTGGCTCGCAAAGCACCTGAATAATCTGATTGGATGCAGGCATTGTTCAGGTGTTTTAAGAGCCAGCGGGGCAGAGTAGCAAGATAATGAAGCATGATCCAGTGTGTGATTCCTCCATCCGCACAGTTCAGTGTAGATGGAGGAATCTGTTACACTTTTTCCATCTGACAGTGGTTTTCAACCTTCACAAGACCAAAGCCCAGTAAATTTCAAACCTTCCAGGCCCCAATTGTAAAAAAAGAAAAGTATGGGAATTCAAAATATGCATTTAAAATGTATCAAATGCACACCGAAGAGAAAGTGGAAGTAAAACATATCCCATCCTTATCAATATTAACCCCCAGCACTGGTATCAGTGGACACAATCTCCAAGCAATGGGATCAGCGGCAGTAATAACCCCCAGCATTGGTGTCAGTGCCTACAATAACCCTAGGATTTGTGTCAGTGGCAGTACTGCTAATACCCATCCCTCTGTCCCCACTCCATACATTAATGGTCAGTGTTCGTGCTATTTAACTCCCTTGCATGGGTGGTTAATGGCAGAGTTATTTAACCCCTTCACTATGGGGGTCAGTGACCGTATTTAACCCACTACCCCCTACACATTGGTGTTCAGTGGGAGTAATAATTGACCACCTTATTGGTGGACAGTAGCAGCATTATGTACAATGATACAGAGAAATGCTGACATGTCAGTGCTGCTCGTCAGAGTATTAAGAACTGCACACTACTAAAGACCCAGAGAGGAACAGGATCATGCATGTCTTGTGCCTGGCCTAAAAACATCCTGAAAGTATTAAAAGAATAAAGTACACTTATTTTTGCCCCCCTTCCCAGGACCTAAACTACCCCATCCTCAACAGATCTATACTTACCAAGATCTGAGGGCTGCTGCTCCACTGTGACATTCACGCTGCAAACCTACTTCTGGCTACATCAGTCTACCTGTACAAGTCTATGGGGCAGTAATGTGCAGGTTCAGCCAGCAGATGGAGCACTGAGGCACTGGAATGTAAAAGGAACTGCGCCCATCAGATCAAGGTAGGTACGGATATGCAGGAGAGAGGGTGGGATCTTTGGAAAAGGGGTTGGGACAAAAAAAGCAGGGACATGTTTTAACGTCCCTAAAAAGTACAGAAGTAAACCTCTATAAAAGGTTCTATTTTCTGCTCAATATTTTCATAATTTGCTTATTTTATGCAAATTCTTTGTCAAAACAAAATTACCACACAAGTTTATAGTTTAGAGGTATTTCGACAATTCACAAAGTATTGCACAGCTTTAGGCTGGTGATATTAGTGGTTCAACTGGAGAACACAAAAGGGAGCCATCTGAAGAGGGATAAAACTTAAAAACTGTTCAACTTGATAGGTTTGTTTGTGAACTGACCACCTTTCATGCAAAAACAAACAGAAAAATGGATGACCAATGAATCTTTAAGAGTTGGTTCACATCTGAGCGTTTTGTAGCTTGAAGCTCAACCACCAAAATGTTTACACTTTTAAATTGTGCCCGTTGACATAGAAATGTATTCGGAGATCTAAGCTCCACACCTGAAGCTCAAAAAAGGTACACAACCTACTTTTGAAGCAGAATGAGGCATTTTTGGCCAGACAGACTTAAATGGAAGCACCTGAAAATGAACTATTTTTTCCTCCTCGGTGTCCCTACATTAGGCTCAGCCAGCATGGAAGGCATTTCTTGAAGATAGGACAATTTTTGGTATAAGGATTGACTGGTATAAGGATTTTTGACTGGACCTGACATTTTACGAGAACAGGAAACCAAAATAATCTTATAAAAAAGTATGCCAGCAAGTGGTCATTTTTCAGTCTTGCCAATATGTAAAAGGGTTCTTCCTCCATTTAATTTCTATGCATGTAACAAAGATAAACAAACATATGAAATATGAAAGCATTGCATTACTACAAGACATAACACTACATGCACCGATAACAGTATACGATTACAGCAACCCCCAGATGATATAGCAGAGGCAGACTCCAAAAATATTCATATGCCCCATTTAACTACAAGCCAGCTGGTGTCCCCAGCATGCAGTTTAAATTGCTTCGACAAATCTTTAGCGCTGAGAAACGCTTTCTTGGAGACTTTTTACCAACTGATGCCTCATACTATGTTTTTTGAAAAGCTTACTGCCCAGGATGACACTGCCTAAGCTTGGCCCCTAAAGATTTTCCATTGGAAATTTTCGTTGCTGCCAAGAACCCTCGTTCGATTCAATCTCAAATAGGCCATCATGCACAGACCAATATCGATTATCGTTCGTTAGGAATACAAACAACAAATTTTGACGATCTACGAACAGCGTTTCGTTTGCACATGTGCAGTGACCTTGCTGCAATTTTTTTCCTACGAAAACGCCACTAATCCCTTTGAGAAAATTTGAATGGGATTGTAGTACAAAAAACAACCCAAAAAAAATCGGGTGTCCCATCAACTGTTCGACTTTCATTCTTCCATACGTGGACGATTTCCAAACAAAAATTGAAGCGTGTATGGGCACCTAAAGTTCACTGCCATCAGGGAGGTTTTGCAGTGTGGGTTCGAGGCAGACAGAAAGTGCTTATGTGCTTCCCCCTCTAGTGTATATACACGTCTCTGAGTCTATCAGTTTTCGGCCTGTTGCTTTCTCCTTTCCTTGCCCTAACCCACCCAGTTTGGTTCTAGCAATGCTTCGGTCTGTGGCAGCTTGATTTGGCCACATTATTCCGCTACCTGTATGCCCTCTATCCTGGGTTAACACGACAAATATTGCTCAGGAGTATCAGGTACAGGTTTTGTGATTTTCCAGTGTTTAACTTATTGTATCGCTTTATTGTTTGCTTTCTTACTCTGTATTCTGAAAAAACCTTGCATAAAAAATTACTGCAAAAAAACCCAAATTATAATATTTCATAAGTGTTCTGGAACACAAATCCTGCCAAGGCCTCTGGGCACTGAGCCTGTACTATCCCAAACACCTTGCAGAACCCCAGAACAGGGACATTGACCGATTATGGATTATGGCAGTGCTCAAAGCTGACCTCCAGGGTAAAGTAAAAAAATATTTTAAACCACCTTTCATTTTGATTAAAAATTGTACTACAACGGTGTCATATGTCATGCAGATTACTTCAACTTGCGTTGTTATTTCTATAAATATAGGACACTATATAGCTGAATAAATGCGGACATATTTATAGAGTGGCCCACACATGGGTTCCAGTATACCATATCTTTATAGCTGGCCATTTGTTTGCAGTTTTTATATCCTCCCTATCCATATTTTAGATCTGGTTTCTCAGCACTGATGAAGTTAAACCCCTGTGACACATTGGCTATCTTCTGACTTTTATCAATACTTTAATGGACTTGTTACAAGCTTGTGGCACTCTCATCCTTTACACTTTGTTGGGACTGTTTTGTGGACCCTTGGGGATACCCCTTACAACAGAGCTGCCATCAATCCCAACAATGGTCTCCAAGCTAGTAGATGGACAGCGGCTGGGAGTCTACTCAGTCCCTTGTACTAGATAGGAAGTTCAGGGAAGCCAGGCTGAGAGAGATGGAGCCAGCTATTCAGCAACATACTGCCCAAGTAGTTGGGCAAAAATGGTAATACTTTGCTGGGCAATGCATATACAATTGATCTTGATTCAATAATGAAAAAAAGTTTGTGATTAAATCCAGCTGCTTATTTTCCTTTCTGAAGGCTCTGCACTCTTTGTTCTGGCTGGAACAAAAGTTTCTCAGCATGATGATCTGGCAGAACCTGCCTTTCTCTACCTCTCTAGAGATTAGTTGCAGTGTGGTAGAAGATTTGCTCTTATTTCTGCCAGATTGCTACTTTGCTGCCTTGGACTGAACTCTTAAGCTTCTTAGATTGATATGCAGCAGCCAGCTACAGACACTGCACATTCTGGCAACACAGTAGCACTGACAGGAAACCATTTGAGCCTACAAAATAAAAAAAAGCCGCATTTGTCCTTCGGGTTATCCACCTGCAGAGAAGAGAAAGGGAGAGAGGCAGGTGGGTGGGGTTTGGACAAGTGGGCGGTGCTGGGCACTCGTATCTACACCAGTGCTGATATTAGCTACAGGAGGGAAGTGATGCAACCAGTCGACTGCAGTGCCTCTTCACAGCAAATAGTTGCCTTCTTAATGCAAAAAGAAACTATTCTTTCATCTTATGGAGTACAGGAACAAGAGATCTGCAACTGTAATTCCACATTACAACTACCTTTTTCTTCTGCTTGAAATTCAGCTTTATTGTAGTGGCAGGAGTTGGTAAGACTCATAAGTACAAATTCGATATAGGTCCAAAGCATTAGGGGAGCACATGGCCTTTATTTCATGGACATAAAAAGGTAGTCATCTGCCTCAATGCTATAACTACCAAACCTACTGTGTGCAGAGCAAGCAAGAGGAATAGGCTGACAGAATGACTGGGGGCTTTAGAAGGTCCACAAAATCTGTCCCCAGCCAGGTATCAGGAAAACTGAACCAACAAGCTAGAGGAAAAGTATGGAGCTCAGACCAATGGAAATAAGATTGCTTAGCATGCAACCCAAACTCTCCTGCAGATCACTCACATTTAACTATAAGCCTAGAAAATCCACAGGTAGCAATTGTTCACATAGCTGCAAGTGGTTTTACTTCATACAATAGGCCAAACTGATTAGTGGACAATGGATCCTTTTTTTTCTTTGGAATATACCGTATTTTTCGCTCCATAAGACGCACTTTTTTCCCCCCAAAAAGGAGGGGAAAAACATATCTACGTCTTATGTAGCGAATACCTATCACCCGACGCCCGGGACATGCAGTTTCGGAAGAGTTGTTTTTTATGTACATTCAGCCCTGCTCCTGACAAGCAGAGCTGAATGTACAGTGCGAGCCGCTGCTCGTTTAATACAAGTGATCTAATTGATCACTTGTATCACATTGTGCGGCGGCAGCGATAGTGTCCGCCCCCGCCGGGGTTTTCGGGGACCCCTCGTGGTCACGGTCCCCCATAGGAGCTTAACATAGAGCCCCTTGAGCAGACGAAGAAAGTCGTTCTTCGTCTGCTCTGTGTGATTACTGAGACAGCGCCACCTGTCTCAGCGTTCACTAACTGCAGCTTCTGTGACAGAAGCCCTGCGTCTCATCGTCCGGAGCGGCTTATAGAGCGCGAAATACAGGTGAAACTCGGAAAATTAGAATATCGTGCAAAAGTTCATTTATTTCACTAATGCAACTTAGCCGTCTACCAGGAGATTTTGGAGCACTTCATGCTTTCTGCCACAGACGAGCTCTATGTGGATGCTGACTTCATTTTCCAGCAAGACTTGACACCTGCCAACACTGCCAAAAATTTTCTGAAATTGTGGATCTGGGTTTTCATGAGCTGTAAGCCATAATCATCACAATTATGACAAATCACGGCTTGAACTATCTTGCTTTGCATGTAATGAGTCTATCTCATATATTAGTGTCACCTTTTAAGTTGCATTAGTGAAATAAATGAACTTTTGCACGATATTCTAATTATTCGAGTTTCACCTGTACAGTACATACTGACACTTCCTCGTAGATTTTAAGATCGGTCCCTAAAAAGTTTTGTCCAGGACACCAGGATTGTCACCAATATTGTTTGTTTAAGGGATGTGTTCTATGCTACTCACCACTCCACATACTGAACCATATGTTCTATACTTTACATAATTCCACTGAATACACTACGGTACATTCAATACTCTACACAACCTCAACTCTGCATACTGAGAAATCTTCCATTCACCACTCTAAGTGCCGAGAGACAGAATTGGACATTGGCCTGTCTGTAACATGTCATCTGCTTTTAGTTAGTTATAGTATTAAACTCAAACTTTTTTCAATAATGAATCCAGATCAAATATACATAGTCCAGCAAAGCATTGCTTTACATTTTTACCCAAACACTTACAATCATCATGTTTCTGAACAGCTACTTCCAAGTCTCTCAGCTTAGCTTCCCTAAACTTCCTGCCTAGTACAAGATCACAAAAGACAGCAGACTAAGTCAACTGTTCATCTACTAGGAGAGGGGGCAGGGGGAGGAAAGTAGCTTGATTTGCTGTGTATGTGGAGACTCACACAGCTTACTAGCCCACACAAGGGTGACTGCATAGCACTCTGCTTGAGAAAGTATTCACTCTAAAACAGGAAGTCAGCACCAGTGCTCACGGGACCAGCTGATCCTGCCAGGGAAAATATTTAATCATCAAGGGGCAGCATCTATTGTAAGCGATGTCAAGTGAAATGGCTTAAAATCCTTTTGACTTTGATATAACTTTAAATTTTATTTTTCATTCTTTTTAATGGTATGCGAGATGTCACCAGCATGATGTTGAGACTTAAATCTCATATATAATGTTTCCTTATGGTCAATAAAACTGAGAATAAAAGAAACCGCAGCATGCAATTGGAGGTCTCTTCAGATCTGATCATTGCATTAACAGTAAGTATAAATCATTAGAGGATTGTTAAACTGCAATATAATACATTTGTTCTTGGGGTTAGAAAAAAAAAAAAACTCAGTGAAATAGCCACTCAAGGAAAAATAAATAACTAGTATACTTACTTAATACCACTGCCCATACTCTGTGCTTGCTGCTGACTTCCATTATTGATTGTGCTGGCATTTTTCAGCTGGTTTATTTGCAGTGTGGGTGTTCCCCCATTTCCAGGCCCTTGACTTTGTTTTACTGGGCCCCTCAACTGCCCATTCTGACTGGACAGACCCATTAAAACAGGGTTCTCTGTTCTCGTGGTGCTCATTTTGTTTTGTATTTTTAATAGTGTCCCTTAGTAAGTTTCTTTCAGCTTCACAAGCTCTGAAAGTCAGTACAGAGACTAATAGTTTATAGGACTCTTCAAATGAAGAGATAATGTCTTGCTCAATAAATGAGTCCTTAATGCAACTTAAAACAAGTGCTTGTTCTTCTTAAAGTCTTTGAACTATGAAATCACTTGTTCTGATGCACCAAATCAACTTTATAAAAAAAGCCCTCGGACATGGATGAAATTCACTTTTGTTCAACGATTGCAACCTAGAAGAAAAAAATATTGATTAGCAAATAGTTACAAACCTGTAAATTATCCTTAAGTAGAAAAAACAAAATATGGAGAGTTTCTTGTATTTTCCCTTGCCGTTAACAGGAGGCAAGCACTGTACCATTCACATGTTTATTGGACATCTCAATGGGACACTGAACTCTGCAAGCAACATCCAAAAAAAGACAGGGCAAAGAACTTGTCATCAGCTTGGTCTGTTCTCCTTGCAGCTGGGCATTCCTACATTAATGACATACCATGCCTTGTTCTGCACTGTGTAGAGGTGGCCATCTTGGTAGAGGCAGAGTTCTGCTTCCTCAGGTCAGAGCCTCCAGCAAGAACTGCGAGTATCATAGTACCAATACCAAATCTCATTCAGAATCTCTTACGATTGGCAGTCAGAGGCCGCAGTACCCGATTCTTTCAAGATGGGTTTTGAAATGTTTTATAGAATATGATTAACTTGTGAACCTTCACTTATGGCAAGTCTATAGTCTTGTTATTAAATATGTAAAACCTAAAGAATAAAAACAACCTCAGATACACAACTATAAAGCTGTAGGCCAAATCACTCATACCCTAACTGCACTGCTATTTTTAGGTTGAATTCAAAGAAAGTAGATTTCTCAGGGCACAACTAGTGATTTTAAATGTTCCCTAGAACATACCAAATCTTCACTTAAAAGTATATGCAGACCACAACAATGGACTTCTCTTATTTGCCTTTTGGTCTGTTGAATAAACCAAAGATTTTTGCTATAACTGCTTGATAATACAAATACCTGTTGAGCCTGCTAGAAAACACGCAAGTTATCATGTGCTCTCCGCCTCTGTTGACTTATCAGTTAGCAATGCTTCCATCTTGAACTACAGAAAACCTTTGGGGCCCTAACAAGCCATTATTACTGCCTTTCGGGCTATACAGTACAGTGAACATTGTCACCCTAGGACAGAAAGGATTAGTGGGATCATCAGGTTAAAGAAAAAAAAAGAAAATGCCCGATTTAGAAAAATAATGGTCAGGTTTGAGGGGCTGGTAAGCGGCAATATACATCTGTTTTGTGGTTTAGATTCACTTCAGATTTTTGTTATCTTTTGATTAAGCTGAAATTTGCACACACTTTAGAGCAGTGACCTATCGCCCTTTCCTTCAGACAGCTCAGTAGCACATTTCAATCAGACTGTTCAAAAGAATAGGATTTCAGCTGCTTTTAGAAAAACCCCTGAATGCTCTTTATATGCACAATATTACATTTTTATTTGAAAATAAAAAGAATTCTCTCTAACACTATATAGGCAAGCAAAAGATCATTCATGTATCACTTGTCCCTCCCATTTAGCTAGTAAGCCCTCATGGGCAGGGCCCTCCTTAGCATCTTGTCTTAAATTGTATTGTAATGTCTTCCTTATATTGTAAAGCGTTGCGCAAACTGTTGGCGCTATATAAATTCTGTATAATAATTCAAAAACTTATTAAAAGTTGAAGCAAAGCAGTACAATTTCCTTTTAACCCTTTCGCTGCCAAGCCCTCCGGAACATTTTTCAAATCAGCACAATCACAGTACAGATTAAGCCAATGTTTAGTGACCTTACCTAGTCAAATCTTCATACAGTATATAAAAGACTTGTCAACAAATGCACAGTACTTTGCTAATGTCTGACATGCAATGTAAATAAACAGGCCCGGAGTAATGCCATCAAACATGTTAAAAGTTGAACCGTTAAGACTAGCTAATAGAAAAGGAGGGTGGCAGTCCATGCATGTATGATCATACCAACCTCGGCACTTGTTACAGCCAGTGCTGACAAACCTAAAGGCACAACCAAGTGTTTATGTGAATGGAGTGAGGCAAGCAAAGAGTGGCGTTTATCCAGCTTACCTCCAGGAAAAAAGGATGGCTGCCCACCTGCATGGTCATCCAGCAGGTATCAGCCTTACCCGTTAAACTTGTCTACAGCAGCATCAGACAAAACTATATAAACCATTCTGTTGGACAGACTTTATAAATAATATCCATATATAAATACACCCATTTTAAACATACTACAGTACCTGGAATCCTTAATTATTTCACATTTAATCATAATGAGAGCTTACCAAAAAATGCTTCCATTTGTCCTGGGTGACATTGAACACACCGTGTACATCTTTGGGCAACATCAAACATTAAATCCTTTTCCTTTATATTACAGCAAAACCCCCCAATGATCCTTCCCCCTTAATTAGGTTTTTGTTCGGCATCTAGTGGTGGAAATCCTGTGGTATAAAACTGCCAGGCAGCACCCTCATCATTCACAACAAGGAGATGGTGTAGCAGCACTTACACAGAAAATTGTAAGATACTAATGTACATGAGGCACATGCAAGCCATTAGGAACTTCCTATTGGGTGACTACTTTCCTTAAAACTTTCCTGGCCCACCATTCCTAACCCAGAACCCCACTATACAGAAGCCTACTTACCGCTCAGTGATGCCCTCCGTTACATCCCAACGTTTTCTTTGTTACTGCCTGCACAAGCTTCCCATAGGCTTGCAGTATGGGGGTCAACTTTATGTGCAGAATAGGAATTTTACATACATAGGTGCATGTACACATGTGATGTGCCTTGAAGTTTTCTTTTATAAGTCTATTGTCATTTATTGAGCTTAATTGGGGCCGGTGCCAACAGGCTTTTGTTTGCTTCAAACCAACATTTCCATACAAGTCTATGATGATGCAAAACCCGCATGAAGCAAGTCAGAAGGTCAGCTGCAAGTCAAATACAAGCTTTAACATGATAATGCCGTATTGCAAGACTGTTCATTTTAAAAGTGCCATGCTGCAGTGCAAGCATGTAAACAGGAAGTGGGTGCAGAGATCAGTAGCACCAAGGTGAAAATATGAAAAGTACATTAAAAAGGAAATGCTTTGGCAAATAAAAAATCAGTTCGGGTTAATATCTACAAAGCGACACTAGATTTAAGGGTCAATAGGTTAGAAATGCATTCAAGTACCTTGAACAAAACTGGACTCTTATTTGTGTATCACTCAGCTGTAGATCCTCAAATCATGTGTTGTAAAGTAGTCGTGATGGACTACAATCTCAATACAAATTAGTAATCTAAACATTAGATTGTAGTCACATCAAAGGAGCGAGCTTCCAGCGGTGACTACTTTACAACACATGGAGAACAGAAGTAGCCACCTTCCAGCCAGAAGGAAGTACAGTGTCAGTACCAATTCAGAGATGATTTGAGGATCTACAGTCAAGTGATACACAAATAAGATGCATTTTTGTTCATAGTTAAGGTACATGAATGCATTTAAGATTTAAAGTGGATCTTTTCCTAGTTTGACTAAAAATCACATCAGCATACAGCTCTGAATGCTGATTTGAAATCTTAATTAACTAAACCACCATTTTTATTCTACAATTTCTTTTTATTCACTTCCTGGTCCACTTTGGCTCAAATGATGTAGCCTGGGAAGGTTACATCAGCAGATCATTGCTGGGAAATCTCATCTGTAAGCTCACGAGATCTCAGGAAAAGCATTTTCCTCCCCTGAGATGTGCATGGTCACATGTCCTAGTCTTATGTGCTAACGTTCCAGGAAGTAAAGGGAGATCTAGTAACCTGCCCATAATCAAAATGGCCACTGTCAGAAGACTAGAAGACTGGTATGCAAAACATAAAAAGCCTGCAATCTAGAAGTATCTGTACATTGTCATTACTAAATCTTTCTAAAGGTGCCCTTGTTATTTTAAAGATATGGGTAACGTTCCTCTTTAATCTTGCCATGTAAACAAGTTTGAAGAGCATCACATTCAACAATCATTTACAAAGCAGCCAAATATCTAAAAACATTGTGACGCACAGCAATGAGTTACTTTTGAAAGCCTGACCAACGCACCAAAACTACATCCAAATCAATCTAACAAAAATAAGTGGCTTGAACACGGTCATTTTTGGAAAACATCCGAGAAACATAAATCAACCACAATGGTACAGCACACTATATTGCATGCTAGGTGTGCTGCCATTCACTCCAATGCATCCCAATGCACCTCCGGGTGGGCAATAGAATCCTGTGCTGCCTTGCAGTGAAAAGTAAAACTTTTTATCCCCACAGTGACAACGCATGTTATAGTGCCAGGCTGCAACACACACTGGGGTGCAATTGAAAATGAATGGCAATACAAAAGTGCACGGAGCAATGCTAGGGTGTGGACCGGCCCTGAAGGAAGTAAAGACAAGAAAAAAAAACAGAAAAGCAGCAGTGAAAATCGTTGAAAAGACGGCCCATTGTCACTATTACGTAGCAGCATGCACTGCCAATGTTATGACATTTTTCTACTTGTCGCAACATTTTCTGTAATATTGAAATAAATAATGGTCAGACGATAAATGGCGACAGTGAAAAATGTGGAATTCCCTAACATAACCAATGAAGAGCTGCCCACTTACACTGATGGCAGGTGGATACATGCCCACCTATACTGGTGGTCAGAGAAGGGACTTCTTTGGTGGTCAACAGACTGCTCCCTTACACTGGTATCGAGTAGAGAAGAGCCTTCTTATACAAGTAGAGGGTTGGACAAATTAATATGAATATAGGAGCCAGTCTGTTAAATTCAGGAGTCAGCCGAATTTTTTTTTTTTGCAGCCAGCTTCACTGACAACTAGAAAGAAATCTCAAAAGTTAGGCACCAGCTGTAATTTTTAGGAAGCATTGGCTACCTGGCTCCTGGCAGTCCTTCAGCCGTGTGTAAGGGGCCAGTAAAGATGGGCCTTCTTGGATTTATAGTCATTGGGAAGAATGTCAGCAGATAGCTAAAACGATCACTGGTGTCAGTGGTTACATATTGGGAGGGGCAGAAACTGCTAAAGGAACATCTAGCACCTCCTGGAGGAACCCAATGCTTCCATATAACCCTGGTTGGTTAAAAGGAGAACTATGAGGTGAGTGCTTTTCACTCACCTCATAGTTCTAGCCGACCTGTGACAATGAGACT